GAACCAAAAAAAGGTTGCCTTGTCTTAATGTTTCAGTTACAGAAATGTTCCTGTCGCCATCCATAGAGAACAGAGCCCAGCCACTCACAACACGCCAGTGGCATGTGTCAGAAGTTCTGCTGCACAGACAAGAAGGCACAGTGTAAATTCAGCAGATTTTTCTCTTATGTCACGTCCTAGGAGGTAGATGAACAACCTAGAAATCCAGACTTCTTCTCATAAAGGACTTAAAGTGATGCCAACCTACAGCTGAAACATTTGATTGCCATATCACACTGGCCCTGTTTAATATCTTTATTGATAATCCAGACAAGGAGATTGAGTGCAACTCAATAAGTTTGCAGGTGACACCAAACTGGAAGGAAGCATCAATCTGCCTGAGGGTGGGAAGGTCCTACAGAGGGACCTGGACAGGCTGATCACTGAGTTGAGGCCAATAGGATGAAGATTAACAAGACCAGGTGCTGGACCCTGCACTTAGATCACAACAACCCCATGCATCACTGCAGGCTTGGGGCAGAGCGTGTTGCTGGCCTGCAATACCTTGGCCTCCCAAGGGGCTTTTTCCACCAACAAGCCTAATGGCTGCAGCCAGCTGTACTGCAGAGCAGAATGTAGACAGCAGCAGCACTGATGCAAGTTCAGGGAAGAGTAAGGCAGCTTTTTCAGAGAAGGGTCACTGAGGCAGTTTTTCCACTCTGCAGCAGCAGTATGGGCGACCTTTCTAATACACAGGAACCACAATGTCCTGTCAGAACATTACCATCAGTCTCTCTGTCTGGATGGTTATAAGCCAGACCGCTGAGAGCCCACCCAGCAGCAGTGATAAGCAGCAGATATAACATCTTAAGCATCTCTGCAGCACCCAGACTTCTGTATTTTTACCACAAAGACCACAACATTTATCTCGAGGCATTAAGTTGTTTAAGAGACTCTTGCTGAAGACAATAAGTTACTATTGAATATAATCAATTATAACCAGTTATGCCTCTCTTTTTGTTCCATGAAAGTTGTGCCCTCAGGTCCAAGTGTTAGAGCTTGACACTGAATAATAGCACTGGGAGAACAGCCCATCTCTGCCTCCAGCCACATGAACAAAGACATCTTGTTAACTTGCCATGATCATAATGGTAAGATTTACCAACAGATAAGAACCAGGACAAGAGAAAAAATGATTTAAAAAATAAATAAATAAGTAATGCTTTCAAGGATGGATCCCACCAGGCTTGCCTGAGAAGTCTAAGATGCAAAGCCTCAGTTTGGACTGCACATTTAGTTTCTGTGAGCTGAAAATTTCCTGGAAATTCTCCTCTATTTCCTATTTTGGAAAAGAAAGAAATGGCACTATTTCCTATCTATCTCTGCATGCAACATTCAAATTTACAAAGCCACTCACGCAAGGAAGAAACATACAGCCATCAAAGGAAGGTTTTCATTTTAGCCTTGACAAGTACGAGGAGCTATAGTCCAAAGGATGTTAAGAGTTTGTTCAAAGACTGATCCCACTTCCAGGAGGCTCTCTACAAGAGCTGCACTTCAAGCATACTGGCATACACAAATTAGAGTAGCAGAGGTATCAACAGAGGTGTTACAAACATTTATTAATATATTTCTTTCATGGACATTTGGATATGGATCTCACCATCTAGTCTTAAAAAACATAAATAAATGCATAAGAACATAACTGTATACTTTAAGTGTCATCTACCTACAGACTAGCTGTCAATCATGGCTCTGATCATAGATAACGTATTGCAAGTACAAACCACGACAATCTAGCTTGTCTGAGAGTTGTAAGGCAGTATGTGTACAGAAAGAGCACGCCTGAAAAAAAGAAAAAAAAAAGTTATCCTGCTTCTTTTCTAACCGAAAGTAGCAATAAAGCACAGTGCTGGCCTTTACTTTCCCTCATGGTTGCCTGGAAGTTGCAGGTGCTCTATCAGCTCCCAGCATGGAGCAGGACTCTGGGACGTGGACATTCAGCTCTTTTCTCCATCACAGATCACTTGCTCTGCTTAACAGCCTCCTTGTGCTCTTCCTTGCCATCAGATTTCAAGCACGTATGAGAGGAACTTCAGTGGAAAGGTTAATGTGCTTTCCTAGGTTAAATTTTACTTAACCTATGAGCTCCACAAGCGCTAATTTACATATGCTGGCTGCTCTCTCCAGTTTTGTGAATAACCAGAGATTATTTTTGATGGGCTCCCCCACTTCCTGAGAGCTCAGACCAGGCAACTCACAGAATCACAAGGTTGGAAACGACCTGCAAGATCATCTAGTCCAACCCCCCTCCCATTCCTATCAGTACCACCAGCACTAAACCATCTCTCGTAGCTCCTCACCCAGGCACCTCTTGAACACTGCCAGGGATGGCGACTCCACCACCTCCCTGTGCAGCCATTCCAGTGCCTGACCACCCTTTGTGAGAAAAAGTTCCTCCTAATATCCAACCTAAGCCTCCTCTGGTACAACTTCCGGCCATTTCCTCGGGTCCTACTATTTGCCTGGGAGAAGAGGCCAGACCCTTTTGCACCACAGCCTCCCTTCAGGAAGTTGTACAGTGCAGTGAGGTCTCCCCTGAGCTCCTCTTCTCCAGACTGAACAATCCCAGCTCCCTCAGCCGCTCCTCATAAGACTTGTGCTCCAGACCCCTCACCAGTTTCTTTGCCCTTCTCTGGACACGTTCCAGGGCCTCAAGGTCTTTCTTGTAGTGAGAGGCCCAAAACTGAACACAGCACTCGAGGTGCGGCCTCACCAATACTCCATAACTCCATACTGATGGAGCTCCCTCAGCCACTTCTGACATGACCTGTACGCTGCCTGTCATTTCTTTCTCTGCCCCTCATGTACCGACCTTGCTCAGCTGCCTCTGCTTTCTCCATTCCTGTTTGGTAAACTCTGCAACTAGATCTGCAGCTCTCCGCTCTGCCCCTTGGAACTGCTTTGCTCCCAGTTGCATTTTCCATCCTTCAGCCCCAGAAACGTGGCAGAGGAACACACTAATAATCTGATACTGTTCTCAGCCTTGCAGCTACTGGGACAGTCTCGCTGCTCTGCAACACATCTGCTGCATCTCCTTGATAAATATGTACCCCTCCAGTGTAGAGACAGAACACAGAACAACAGTAAAGGCAACAGGATAACCCCAGAATACTGTTCTCTACCTTAGATATGAAAAATTTACTTCTTTGCCTCCCAGGGAAGCTTTGAGTCCGTGCTGCACCTCCCCAGCACCCTCTCCAACAGCCAAACACTCAGCCCTGTCCTCTGACTGCTGCTGAGCTTATTTCCCCAGCAGGTCTTTCTGAGTAGTTCATTCACCAACGCTTGGGTTAATTTTGAGTGTTTTGTTTTTCTACCTCTACATGAGTACAATTAAAGAAATGTCACACTGCGTGTCACACATTTCCTTCAGCTATGTTTTGCTTAGTTTTATGTACACTAAACCAAAGAAACCACCTCCAATGTTTTCTTTCACAGCTTTTTTTCCCCTCCTCCCCACAACTGCGGTCACAGTTGCACTACAGCATTGCTACAGAAACCTACTGTTAAATATCACTTTGCTTATCTTGAAACTTCATACAGCACCTTTCTGTAAATGTAGCTCTTTTCTTCTAAACCTCTACGCTTCCCCCCTACCCCCATAACATCTGAAATCTTTTATTCACACAATGCAAAGATGGGTTCAAAAGACCAGTAGAGTAAGGTGCTGTTATCCCTCCCTGGCAAGCATGCTCTGGAGGAAAGCCTCTGCTACAACCTTAACACTAGCTCCAGCAAAGCCCTGTTAGATCCCATTTCACATACTTGACATTTGAGGTCTTACTGTCCAGACCCTCTGAATATTTTAAAGTATTTCACTGGTGTGACTCTCAGCTGGAGGAAGCAACCCAAATCAACTAGCGGATCTTACAACAAAACACAACAGACCACAGGGACTTTAGTTCCTAGATTAGTATCTGTAAGGAATGGCAACGGCAGATAACCAGTTCTAAATTATCCAAAAGAGGATAATGGCCACAATCCAAACAAATAAAGAAAAATTTGCCTACCTGTCCCAAGAATCAGGGCTCAACAAGTATTCCAGAAGGAGGAATCTCCAGGTAAGACCTTTCCCTCATGGCGACCAGCTCTTAAATGATGTTAGAAGGGCTGGAAGCTGGTTCCACTCCTTCCAGTCCTGCAGATGAATTGCTTTCACCTGTGCTCCCAAGGCTGGCTGTGTCCCTTCACCAGGTGAACCATTAGTTCAGGCCTTGACTTAGCAATTCCCATACAGTACCTAATTTGTACAGCACCTACACTTATGCATGAGCTGAGCTTGTCAGAGATGGAGGAACCTATTCTTATCTGACTGACAGCCATGACAGTTCTCTCCATGCAGCTCTGCGGTGCGCAGAGGAGGGTGCCAAGATGCTCCTCTCTTTCCTGAAGAGGCCCTGGGGTGCGGGGAACCAGAACCCACAAGGAGACATGGACCCCATGAGGGCTGTGCTGGCCTGGCCACAGGACCCCACAGCTGTGCCCACCTTGAGAGCAGTGCTGGCAGCCACTGTGCACCCAGCCCCCCCATCCACAGCCATCACTGACTCATGAAATGGCCCACAAAACGTCTGCCTGTCTCAGCTGCTCAACTGTGGGAACAGGAATAGCAGATTTATTTCCAAACTTTGCCTGTTTTCCTCTGAAATGTCCTTCAGCACTCCTGCAACAAGGAAGGCAAAGACACAATACATACATTAGACAGAGCCCACAGTGGCAGGATGCCATCTCCTGCTCTAGATCTAGCAAGTGCCATGGTTAAAGGGCCGTCCAAGGGACGTGCCAATTCCTCCCCAACACCATTTGACACTTCTGGTATTTTAGGAGCATTGTCTTACCTGCCACTAAAGGATTGCATGAGTACACAACTTTCAAAGTGTTTTGCTGCGTTTAGTTCAGTGATGAGCAATTTAGTGCTGTTCAAAAAATAAACAAACAAACAGAAGAGACTTTGTAGATAAAGAGGAAAATGGTTATCATGCTTTATTTGAAGTGCTGGTAGGTGAAAATTTAAAACAAAAAACAAAAAACCCCTTTGTTCCACTTTATTTTAAATTATAATCTACACAAAACAGTCCATTAATTATCTAGCATTCATTTTCAAAATACATAAAACAGTCCTTAATGCACGTACAAAAGTAACAGGTAACTGTAAAACCCCGGGGCGCAGATCGGAAGCATCAGTTTATCCACGTGACAATTGCAGGATCTGCAGTCAACAGACACTCCTCTGCACCAAGGGAAATCCAGACCCACCAGACATTTGGATGAACAGATTTCCCCCTTGGATCTGGTGCACAGCATTTCACGAGTGACGTTTAAAGGAAATGACCTTTCCCAAGCAGCAGGCTTGTCATGGAAGACCTCGTGTGCCTCGTTCAGCACCAGCTAAGCACATTTGTGAATGGCAAACCAACCCTTGTCCCTCAAAAAAGAAACAGACACATCAGTAAAGAAAGACCCTAGTTCTAGCCTGTCCTCAGATGCCACAAGGCACTCCTGTCAATCCTGCCTCTTACTCAGGCAGTTTGATATTCTTCTGGGCATGCAAAATTGTAAACTGTCCTTTGCACTGTTGACCCAACTCCCCAAAACCCAATGCTCCTGAGGACAACTGTTACCTTTCCTCAGCTGTGGAGACCTGTGCTTATCCATAAGGGTTCCAAGCCATTACCAACTAAAATGTACAGCTGATGAAAGTTTTTTGCTAAACTCTCCCTTAAGAGTGATTTTGGATCAGACTCAGCTGTGCCCAGGCTGGGATGCTGGCATTACTTTTATCCCAGATTAGTTAACCCTATATTTTACCATCTAAAGTCACCAGCCTGGAGAATTACAATCTGCGGTGTCATTTTTAAGGCATCTTGATTTGAGGCAACACCAGCAAATCACATATTTCTGCTTTCCTACCAAGACATCATGCACCAAGTCTAAGCACTTTGCATGTCGACACAGTCCATATCTCCAACAAGGTCACTAATTTAATAGCTACAACTGAGTGCAATTTTATTGGACCATTCTGATCTCTGAAGAGCTAAACCCATACATATCCAGCCCTTCACTCCTAATGTACTCTGTTCCCAAGTTTCTGAATTCTCTTCAGAATTCGCTTTAACTTGTGAGTAGTTTTATCTACCAGAGCTCTTGAGCAGACTCACACAGACATTTATGAAAGCCATACTCCATTCATAAGTGAATCTATTGCATACTATTAATCAAACCTCTTATGGTCTTATGGTCTTCCTGAGCTCAGAACCAGACTTCTCAAACCATCACAACTTCCCCATAACGGTTACCTATCAGTCTAAGAAACAATCTCACATATTGCCTACAGCCAAATGCACACTCCAAAAATTCTGCTTCCCACACCGTGCTGCAAATATATGTGCAAATACATGTGTCTGCATCTTTTCTATACATGAAAAAGTAAGAGGTATTTCACAAGCAGTCAAAACAAGTAAAAACAGCTTTGGAAATAAGGCAGATTTTTCCTTCTGCTAAAGAGGGTAGGTAATAGCATTTCTTGTTCAACTACTACATCAAGTTGCTAAGGCAGCTCTTGGAGACACCTGAAAAGGAACAGTCGATCCACGTGTGGTATCAGCTCACAGCAGCTTAATTGTCAGTTGAGTAAGTGTTAGTTCTGACTAAGGTGTTGCTTCTAGAACTGAAAGACATGTCTTCATACACTACATTTGTTTTCTTTTTCTGGAAAAATTTCTTCACCTGAAAAACAAAGCAAGCAGCCATTAAGAAGAGAGCTTGAAATGGAGCCAGCTTATCTTCTAGTAGTCCAGTTGCTTGTGAAAAAACATGCTGCTAAACTTCTCTTGGAATACAATAACATCTTAGAGATTTATGTGGAAACATGACCCAATCATTTCACTCTGCACTGTCAGCCTTATGCAATCCTGCTAAAAGTTCCTTCAAGATTTGGATGTAATTGGAGTCCCAACATAAATAATGCTTATCTGTAAATTTTTGTTCATTACCAATGCAGCAAAAGATCAGCTCCCACAGCCTTGATTTTTCCACAATGATATAATGCTACCATTTTTCACTGTTCTGAAGCTACAAGTACAACACAAGAGTCTGACCTGGGAATTGACCCTGACAACTGAGTAATGTTTATGGAGTGTAAAAAAACCCCAAAGTGAATAAAATTCTGGGTGCTTTCTGAAAAAAAAATAAAAAATAATAATAATTTTAAAAAAAGGATGTAAAAATATCTTAGTGAAGTTTCTTGTCACGACTGACAACAAATTAATAGAAGCAAAACAGAATAAAGAATTGCACCATTTGGGGAAATAGATAAAATGCATGGTTGTGTTGTTGACTGCAGAACTTACCCAGGTTTCCCTGTGGAAAAGCAAACACTATCTCATAGTTTACTAAATGCTACAGAAACATAAGAAAACAGTAATTACCTCCAAAAACTTACAGCTAGCAGACATTAAACAAGGGAAGGAGGAAACAATACAAAACCTTACGTTTATCAACTGTTTGCTTACTCAATTGCTATTTAACACAATACTTTTGGCTGTAATTGAAAACACACCTATTCACTCAACCTGGATTCAGATTTGCTTTTTGCGTGGTAACAGCATACTTACATTGACACGGTTCAAGATGTAGAAAATCACTGTAGATAATAGCAGCACTCCTACCACAATGGTAGGAGTGTAGATGGCCAAGGAACCGATACTGCATTCTGTCTGCTTCCCACCTGCATGTGGAATTGTATTAGTAGTAGTATAAAAATGAGGAGAGGTAGAATTTTAATTTTATTATGGAATTTTCAGGCTGCAAATAGATCTTCACAGCTCATAATATCTGTATAAGCCTTTGTTTAATTGCTCAAAGATCCCATCAAAGTCCAATGAATAAACTGCACAGGTAACATCAAAATCAAGTGTTACACTGCTGTTGTCATCTTCATCTTAAAAACAGATACAACACTAACCTGCAGATCAAAAACCTGGCTCTGTAAAATACGCCCTGGCTCTGTAAAATATGCTTACAGGTTGCTCAGTGTATAATAAGAGATCATCTTTGTTATCTTTGTTGCTTTAAGTAAATGCCTGAGGACTTGTTCTGTACTTCCTAGCATAGACTTGCAACAGTGAATGGTTTCTAAGAGACATGAAGCCCCATTAAGGTGATAGAACTGATGCTCAAAGCACCAATTCATTTTCTTAAACAGACTTTTCACATAGTGGAGAGATTATTGTCTGATTTGAACCTTTTTCTTTGTTAAGATAGGAGATTATGGACAGTTTCCCCTTTTAAAATCCCCTTCTGGTTGTTCAGTGGCAGGTAGAAGCATGGTGCTTATTTAGGACTTGGAATACAACAGTGCAGGGGACTCCGAGTGCTTTTCCCAGCCTTTCTACCTGGCTTAACTAAAGTTCTGCAAGCTTTTACTCTGCCTTTTGTTTTCTAGCATGCCTACAGTTATTTATGGTTAAACAAACAGTACCTTTAACCAGCACCATGGTGCCACTTTCATTGACAAAGAGAGAGGAATTTTTCAGCCCTGCAGCACATACGTATACGTCAGTGTCATTTTCCTGTAGGTTGTGCAGAGTTATCACTAGTTTCTTCTCTTGCTTTGAATACTCCAGGCGATTAGCAAAAGTGGGAAAAATAGTTGTAGTGTTCTGACTCGATACATAGAACACTTTTTCAGGTTGCATGTGAGTCTTGAGCAACACGATCCATTCATCTTCAAACGAGCTTTTCAACACACAGGTAATGCTGATAGACTCTCCTTGTTGAGCACGGGCAGACAGTGGTGACTGTTCAATGACCCCATTGGTTTTAGCTACAAAAAAAAAAAAAAAAGAGATTAATGGCTACCACAAAAACACACCGCATTTTAACTGGGGAACAAATAGAGAAAAAACAAAGCACAGAAATTTTGATATATATATATATATATTTTAAGGCTAAATCTCTGCACACTTTCAGTATACTCCATACTTTGTGATGTTATCATTAACAATGTAGACAAGGGAATAAAGACAACACATCACTTTTGTGCAGAGATAACTCTGGAAAGCTTGCAATCATTTCAGAGAAGAGGTTCAGAATCAAAAAGATACAAAAGATAATTTTAAAACATAATTTGGAGAAACTGTACATAGCCAACAAGATGGAATTCGTTTGAGAAAACACAGTGAAGAAACCTGAAAAGAGAAGCCTAAGGAAGAATGTGATAAGTAGATTTGAATGCCCATTACTGATCCAGCAATAAATTAATTCTCGCATTCCTTGCGGACTGGAAAGAAAGAAAGCTGTCATTTTTAGTACAGATATTTCCAGGTTAGAGGCTCTCACCAGAAATGCAGGTGTGTCTGAGAATAATCTTCTGAAGAACATCTCAACCCGCTTCCAATGAAAATAAAAATTTAAAAAGGGAAAAGGAAAAGAGCAGAAAATAGAAGAAGAAAATGACAGAAGAATTCTTCTCCTAACCAGAAATGACTATGAACAGGGAAGTTTCCTCTAAAAAGAGATAAAACAAGAATCCCTGTATCACTGACAACTAACCCACAAGCCCTGCCTAGCACCTAGCACCAGCTTCCTCCTTATCGCTGCATTCTCATTTATGGTGGAATGGTAAAAACAAAAAAAGATTTGCAAAGTCTGCTACCAGAAAAATGGTTCATTGCTTTGCCAGATGTTCATAAAAATTTCTCAGACTGCTGTAAGAACAGCCATGGGTTCTCACTGTTTGCAAACTTCTGCAGCAACGCCTCTGACTCACTGTAAATCTGTAGCAAGAATTAAATTAATCATGAATTGATGCTTTAGGGGGTTTATTGATAGTGTTCTAGCTGATGTGTTTTCTGCATCTTTTCAGGGAACAGACGTACACTTCAAACCAAGACATTACCTGAGCAAGCATGCATAGCGCTCTGTTAGACTCTCTGCTTTCGTCCCAATCTGTTATTCAAAACCAATCCCTGTATTTGTTAATTCACAAGACATAGAGTGGAACCACCGTACCTTTCACGACCACAGTGACCGACATCCACTCTCGCTTGATGTGACGGTCGTTTTTTGTTATATAGCTGGTGCACAGGTAGGTATTTGAGTCAGATTCCCGTACGTTGTGCACAGTGATGGTGAGATTGGGTCCTTCATTTAAATACGTGATGCGATTAGTAAAATTCGGATGTATAAATGAGGTGTTCCTGCTGGAAATGTATACAATATTGGCTGGCGGTCTGCTAGTCTTCAAGTATGTCCCCACTTCATTTTCTGAACTGTTCTTTGAACAAGTTATGTTAATGGAGTCTCCTTCCCAAACACTGATAATGTCTGCTGGCCATTCAGTAAATACATTTTCTTTACCTACAAATAAGAAATGCAATGGAAATTATAATGTCTCGATGTATTTATATTAAGGTAATTTGCAAATATAACTAATTTTTCAGCAGAACAGCCGTAAGCCTGAACCTCACCCTTCCTATTCCATGCATATAATCTTTCGCCTGTCCTAAACCCTACTGTGCCTTTTGTTCCTATTGACCTGCATGACTCAATATCTTCCCAAAGCTTAAAAGACTTTGGACCCCCTGAAAATGGCTTCTGCCCCTCATGCAAAAAAATGTAATCTGATCTATGGGTTCCCACTATTTGCTGTTAAAATATGAAGCTCGTTGAACTGATCTCAATAATCGGAGCTGGCTGAGGATCTAAATCTGGAGTTCAAAGGAGTGACAGAATGGCAGAGAATAGAAGAAAATTTTGGATGTCAAAGAAAAATTAAGCTTTAGTGGGAAATCAGGAAACTCGATAATGTAGTTTCACAGGAAGAGAGCAGCAGGAGGTGTGATACTACAGCCTGTATTAAGAAACAAAGGTATAAAAATATGTAAGGAGACCATTTGAGTTTCTCTAATGACCTGAAAATAACAAGAAACTGAAAAAAAAGTGCTTACAGAGTGAACAGAGAAGAATCAAGATCAAATGGCAAACGTGTAAAGGAAATTGCATTCCAAGCAAGAAAAGAAAAATGAAAGAGTCTATTGCATATCTGATAAGAAAACAGTATAGAAAGAGTTGAGTGTTCTGTGTTTATGAGATGATTAAGGTGCCCTACATACTTTAAACAACTCACCTTAATAAAGGAGCAATCACAGAAGTCAAAAACAGGTAGACATCATCGGAATTTAGATACACTAAGTTAATCCAACCTGCCCGGAAAGGAGAACATTCTGCATCCTCCCTCTAGGGAATTAAAGCAATCCACGAGTCGTTGGCAATTACTTTTCAAAGTAAAAGAGAAAGTGGGCAATTGAGAAGGCTGGAGAAGTGCAGAGTGTTTTGATTTAATGAGCTGGGAAAGAAAGCTCAGGAATTCATCCCCATCAGCCTTAAAATCAGCACTCCTAAGCTGAATCCCATTTATGTGATATAATAACCCAAGTAGTTGAAGGCAAGCAGCCACAGCCAGTCAATCAATTTCTCCAAAAGATCAGAGTTAAAAAAAAAACAAAAAAAGAAGTTCAAGAATTAAATTATATTTGCAGAAATCAATACGAATTCCTTAACAACCAGCAGCAACCACGGCAAAAACACTTCCTATTACCATCAGTTTCAAAGCATCTTCATTTCAAATATGCTGATTTTTGGAAAGTTTTTTTTTCCTCAAGTCACCATCCTTCCCAGTTATTATCAGTGAAAACAGACCTGAGATCACGGGGGAAAATAAAGGAGCTACCTGCCTGCTTAGGGCTTCTTTTTTCACTATTCCTTCCCTTTAGACATCCTGATTTCCCCAAGTGTGCCTCCAGCTTGTGCTCTCAGTAGCTACAACAATATACAACATCTGATTTTTCTAGTACACCTTTATTACACTTTCCACGATCACATCCATACTAAGTATCACCATTCATTTCTATCCAGCAGTGGTCTCTCCATGTCAGCCTTGAGAATACAGATACAATTCACACTGCATTACTAGGAGAACATCATCTGCTATTTCTACAGAGGGTTACTTTTGTTTAGAAGAGCGAACTTTTAAGCAGAATGTTTTTCTGCTTTTTTTATGTTTATTTTTTCTGAAAAATGCATTCTAAAATTTCAGAGCATGTTTTTTCAAAGTTCCAACTGCTAATGGTGAATAATCCAGAGGGTAAACTAAGGAGAGAAGGAAAGAAGGAAGGAGGGAAAGAAAGAAAGGAAGAAAAAAGGAAGAAAGGAGAAGAAAATCACTGAGTGAAGAAAATGTAAGAGCAGCTATGTTGTACGTACCATTTTGGCCAGGGAAGAATGGGAGAAGCAGAAGTAAGAGATGCACAAATGCGAGAGGGGACGTCCACTGCATCTTCAAAGACTTTTCAGCTGATCTTCTCAATTTAACTCAACTGATGAGTTAAAAGTGCTGCGTGCCACAACTTGGCCTGTTACCTTCCAGCTACACCAGCTGTTTACTAAATGAAAGTAGCTCCCTCTCCCCAGCAACTGATTAGGAGAGTGGGGAAAGATTTATAAACAGAGGTTCTGACTTCACACTTCGCTTCATACAACGCCCACAGCTTCTAGAACAACCCCTAACTTGTGAATAGAAGCACCCACATCTGAGTGCAGCCAGCTGTAGGAAGGTGGGCTCAGAGCTGCTTCTCACCCTGCCGTGTCAGGATGTTATCAATGTGGTCACCCTGCTGGAAGCGTGGGCACTCAGCACGATGGATACAGACAATCAGTGCTCCCACTGCCTTACCTGTGTGACATGGCTCTCAGATGCAGGGTTTAAATTTTGGGTGCTAGCCAGGGTTGCACTTGACAATCCTGTGGGTCTCTTCCATCTGAGGGTATTCTATGCTTCTATGCTGTGTCCTTCCTATGTGGATCTGGCTTCCCACTGAAAGATGTTCTGTACCTGCTAACCATCAGCAAAAGGAAATCCCAGATACTCCTTGCTCCTGATAACGAGGAACAGCTCTTCTTGCAGGATAGTTATCTCTGTGAATGGACAGGGAGCAAACGTGTTCCCAAAGAATTCTTGAAAGCTCAAAAGCTGAGAATTTTTCATCAACTATCATGAAGAAATCCAAATTCACATGGGAATGCAAGGAGATAAACAAGCCAAAAGATAACATGATCAACAGGGTTACCAGTGAATAGCCAACTTTTAAGTTGACATTGTATTGCCACGAGCATTTAGCCATAGGAGGTTCAGCTTGCTTCTTCTCTAAAAGGGTGGTCAGGCATTGGCACAGGCTGCCCAGCGAGGTGGAGTCACTGTCCCCAGAGTTGCTCAAGAACCATAGAGATGTGGCAGTGAGGGACTATTGGTGGTAGGTGGATGGTTGGACTGGATGATGTAAAGGTCTTTCCCAACCTTAACAATTTTATGAGTATAAGAACACAAAACTCATGAAAACAAAATTACAGTTGTCAAACTATGCCATCTACTGAGTCAAGATGCCAGGTATTTTCAATCAATCTTTATTTAAGAAATGTGTATTTGCATGCATATATTTATTTGTAAAAGCTCACATAAAGCAGCATAAATCATTTGCTCTGAGCAAAAAGCATAAATCACTAAAGTAATTTTTCCCTAAGACACTGGATAATTGGTGTTACCAGGAAAACAGAGCCCAGGAGACACAAAGTAAACAGCTGGTAGTGACAACTCTCAACATCACAGCTGCACAATAGCAGCAGGAAGGCAGAAGAAAAGCAAAGAAAGGCATCTGGGTGAGTCACAAGGACCAGCTTGGGACTGCATCTCGTGACTGACAGCTGAACAGTTGTCACTGGGCAGAATCATGCTGGTAATCTTCATTCTAAAAACTTGACCAGCTCTCTGGCTCCAACTGGTGTTAAAGATTAGAAATTAAATCTGTTCACTATTGAATCTCTCAAGTTAATACGATGTAAGTTCTCAAATATCTTGTTGCCCCTTTCCCAAAGAACTCAGAACCTGAGGGTGTACAACAACAAAAAAAAAAGCCTACAAAAAAAAGAGCATCAACCATCAATTTGAACACTGCACCTAAGAACATGAAGATACATATGGGAAAAATAAATCTCTCCATATTAGAAGACCACATTAGAGAGCTAAGATTATTTTTGGTCAGCAGGAGCGTAAATCCCCCACTGCTATGGCTGGGGTTGCGGGAAGCACTAGTCTCCTGCATCTAACAAGAGTGAAATAGAAGAACAAACACTTTTCTGTATTTCTGAAGTTAATTTTTAACATATCTTTTGCTGTCATTAGTGATTATTAACTTTTCAGTTTCGGTTTTGGTCATCTGCTTTGAAGATCAGGCCTCTCTCCCTAACCAAATCAGTCACCGCACTGAATGCTTTCCTATGTAAATGCAGAGACCACTTGGGAGCTAAAGGATGAAGAGCCACAGCCATGCTGTTGCATTATGACACAGAGAACACATAGAGAACACCTCAATGCACGCTTCTCCTGAGCACAGATGCAGTTTTCCAAACTGCTGGTTTGCATGGTTGAAACTGTCAGATCATCCATTAAGAGGAGTCAGCTGGTCTAAGCCTGTGCTGCTCATCCTTGTGATGATGGTGGCCCTCAGCCAAGCACCAGGGGAGAACAGGAGCTCCAGGAAGTTTCTGGCATTGCTGATGAAGGCCTGGAGCTGAACATATTGGGCAAACTCGGTCCTCAGGGAATGCTTGAGAGCGGTGAAGGCACATTTGTGAATGGTACTATGAGATCTTGCCTGGAAGTGTTTCTTCAGTTGGCGGCTGTGCTTCATTGCTGAGGGGCACACGGCTGGCACTTTCTCTTTTGTAGATGGTGTTTCGAGTAACTATGAAGTTTTTGCTTTCAGAAACTTGTTTGATTAATCTAGCAGGTGAGAATTGAAGGAAAAATAGCTGTGAGGTCAAAGGTGTAGGTTGATTTCAATGAGAATCATAAGCGAGTATGACACCAGAGGGCAGAACCTCCAGAGAGCCACTAGATGTATATTTTTGCATATCCCAGCAGTATGTTTATTTCCATGTCTTAATCACAACTACAGCGATGCTATCATTGCACTATCCTTACTGAGTTATGCAAGCACTTGTGTAATTAACATTCTTCACAGATCAACTTGTGTTTTATCTACCTGCAGAAACTCATTAGACTCAGCTTGTTATCACTGGCTTCCCTTGTAGTCACCAGAGAGAAACAGGCACCTCCACAGGTAAGACAAATCGCCTTCAAGACAGCTGTGTCTCCCCATTCACTAGAAAGGGAGCACAAGATAAAAGGCTTAGGCTATAGATACTTTCTAACCAAGTTAACCTTAAACAAATTAGATTAGAAATTCAATTCTTAGACTCTGGAAAGAAACAGTGAACCAGCATGGCAAAGCCAACGGGAGCATTTGGTCCTAAAATAGGATGGGGCAGTTGAATAATTGAGAGGAGCCATGTCAGCTTCTAGCAGTACATAGGCTCGTGTAAACACTGGAGCCGAGGTGGGTCAAGGATGTAGGTCAGGGTAAAAACGTGCCTTTAGAACTGTGTAAATGATCAACACGAGTTTTAAAACCACTGCAGAGTCTCATCAGAACATAGGGTCAGAGCTACAGGATTAAAATCTGCTGACATTGCTTTGATGCAGAGAGGAAACAGGCACCTACTGAATGTGATCCTAGTGAATGCACCTAGTCCTTCTCTGAGCACCCTCTTCCCATTGCACCAATGCGATCTCAACAGCTACCATAACTAAACCAAAAAAAGCCACTGCTTACCTGGAGGAGTCTGCTGGAGCACTATGATATGTCCTAGCAAAACAACAGTAATTAAGTCTCAGCATTAGTAAGGATGTACTTAGAAGAATTAAAACTAACAGAACTAACAAGCCTGCAGTTGTTTTTCCCCTTTTATTAACCATTTTCATGCCACCGGCTGGCCAAGCATCCCCTTCATGATGAACATCATTGGGCAACTTTGTAAACAATTATTTTAAAAATGAGATCCAGAAATAAAACCCTGTATGCTTCCTTTTCCACTCCCAAGGCTGATCGAGAAGGCCTGTTACCCACAGGAACACGATGTTTTGTCAGACCATACCTTGACGTCTCTGGAACTGCCTCTTGCAATAACATGCGAACAGCAGTGCTCCAACTACACAAACTCCCAGAATCGGGAACGTGGCAGTGAGGCCAGCTCGGTTGTTTTCACCAACTGAATACTGGTGATTACCTGCAGAGCAGAAGAAAATGAATCCAAAAGAATTCAACAAGTGTGCCAGGATAGCAGCCTGCCTCATAAGCATCTGCTGGGAGGAACTGTGGGTAGCGCTCCCGCAATGCAGCCCATAAGGGCTGGTATGGGAAATGGAACTGATGAAGGACGGAACAAATGGCCCATGGCTTTGGATATCTTAACGAAGATACTTGTAACAGAAGAATGACTATCAGCATCCAAAACAATCTCTTGACTTCCCATCAGGGCATATACGTCTATCATCCAAAATAACCAAGCACAATAGGTATAAGAGCTCATACACCGAAAATATGAGGAATAGCTTTGTGAAGTCTTCCAGTGATCTTACAGTTAGCCAGTTTTACTTGTTTGGATGGTTGCTGTTTTGCTAAAAAACAGATGTAGAAAGCAAACACTGGAAAAACATTTTTCAAAGCAGTGTGGTTCTGGATAGCGTGCGTTTGAGATACAAGGATTGGATAAAGACAGGATGTTCAGCCACGTCAATGATGAGTTCAAAGGCTGCCACTAAGAACATGACGTTTGATCAGGATTCCAAAGACCTCAGTAGATATGAACCTAAACATACACATTTCTGGAACAGCTGTTTTAATACTGGCCACAGCAAACTGAGCAAAACTGTCTCAAAACGTAAGGCAGACAAACATGTTATGGAAAGACTGATCTAGATCTCCATAATCAATGATGTCACCTGTATTCTCATCTGTCGCTCCAATGTAGAACGTCAGGGCATTCTGAGGGTTTACATGATCTGTCTGTGTTTCACAGCAGATTTTTCCCATCTCTGTCATGCTGTGCCTCCTATCTTCAAAGGAATCTGAAAGGTAAAATTGTTAATTATAAATATGGATTATTTCTAAGATCTTCAACCAAGGGTTGTAAGTCAAAATCAGGGATTTTTGGTGTACCACAAAGACTTCCAGCTGAATTTACCTCCAGACTTCAGGAAGCCACACGGTTCTCCTAACCCCTCGTCCTTCTCCCAGAAAATGGTATAAGCTCCATCACGAAACATGTTTTCTTGCTGAAAACACATAGTAATGTGTGTTTCGTTGATCACCAGCTGAATATTTTCATTTGAAAATATCTCATTTTCTGTTTTGCCGATTATTTCGAAATTTGCGTAATCGGATGGTTTGCATCTTTCTTCCCCACAGTCTTTACAGTAGTAGACTGTCACAGCGGTTCTGACGATGCGAGAGCCATCTGCCCTCTCAGCATGGTTAGCTCTGGGCACAGCAACACCTACAGGAGAAAGCAAAGGGGAAAAAAAACATTTCCTATCAGTTTTCTCCCAGACTCCTAGTGTTAGGAGAATGGGACTTGAGTTCTGGTGGACAAACCCACTTATGGCTTAGAAGGCACTATCTGCCAATGGGAAATTTTTATTAGGTACTGGATCCAGTTCCCCAAATAATTTTTGGAGTAGAAATAGGATACTACTCCGTCCTGCTGCCATTAGGGTTTGAACTAGGAAGCTGGTTGCCTGGAAAGTGAGTTGAGAGACATCTCTCTTGAGCTAAGAGATCCTCTGCTCAGACAGGCTCAGATAATTCACCCCTTATTTTCTATGCTTTCACAAACCTACGACCAGGTCTATCTCCAGCAGATATCATTGTCCCAAGATATGTTGACAGCTGAGCTGGCAGACTCCATGATCAGTGCCCCACGATCAATGCCACACTTTCAGTCTGGCATTCCCATAGGCAGCACTTCTACAGACAAGCAGCACATTCTGGCTGAAGTGCTGGAGTGCGCTGGGCATTGAGAGCTGGGAGAGGAGTTTGAGTCTTTCAGGCTCTCTTGGTAAAGAGCTAGTCCTGTAAGAAAGGACTAATCTCACCTGACTTCAGATGGATTCAAAGAGTCATTCTTCCTAAGTGAAGCAGTTGCAACAGTGAACCACCTTCCCCTTCTTCTTATCTCAGTTGTTGCACGATTTCAGTTTCAGCTGGATATAACTGAGTTTCTAACAACAGTTTGCGTGTTTATAACTACTAGCTATTAGTACAGTGAAGGGCAAAGAGTCCAGCAAGGTGACTCACCTGCATGTGGAGTGGGCAGGGCCAGCAGCAGCAGGCACAGCCATAGGATGCAGGCAGAGCCCATTGGGCTGCTGGGCACTGATGGACCTCCGTGATCCCAGCAGGGTCACCCGACCCAGCCCTGGGTTATCTCCCTGTGTGGGCATCAAATAGCAGCTGTTACATCTCTTCCTTATCTTTCCCCAGTCAAAAAAAGAAAACAACCTCCAGACCGAGTGCTGGGAAGCTTCAAGTTGAGAATGCTGGAGTTCAGCAAAGAAACGCTTGTGCTGCTCAGCTGTTATTGCACCCTGCAAGGAGCACTGAGCTGACGCTCATTTCCAGCCCTGGATCCCCTGCAGCAGCAGAAGCCACAAAGTCCTGTTGCAGAAGAGGATAAATCCCTCCCAGCCTTACTGACCAGGATGCTCCAGATCCATGCATATCACTCAGCAATGCACACAACAAATCACTTCTTGTGACTTGCCACCACTTCCAAAGACACATGCCCAGACAGGTAGGAAAGATGCTGTGCCCTGTGTGACTGCTTTGCATGACCCAACTTGAAATATTTACTGTTACAACGCTTTTATTTCTGATTTGAACAGATATTTCCCATCAGGTTTTCTAAATGAAAATTCAAGCAAATAAAAACCAAAGTATTTCTTAATAAAGAGTGAGAAAAACATCCTGGCTCATCCCAATGACACTGAAAGTGGATTTAGATAAAACACAACTTATATTTTCTGAAGGAGAAAAAAAGTAATTTGTCTGGAAAACACCTAGGTTTGCTCACTAGGGGGGCAGTGGCAAACATTAACTGTTCTGCCCTTCTGAGCTTTTAATTAAAAGTTTTCATTAAGATAATTTTCAATCAGCAGGAATTAATAACTGCTCAACTCCCTCGCCCTGCGCTGGATAAGAGCTGCAAAGTGCCACTGTGACCACAGGAGCAGATGGGGCAAGAGACACCCCAGCCCTATAGAAGCCCCTGCAGCTGCCAGTAGACAAGACAGCCCCAACTGCCCACCCAGTCCCACTCAGCACAACACAAGGGACCAATTCCTCCATGCAACTCAGCACTGCTCCATCCGTGCACCACCTGCAGGGATTTCTCCTGGCCCCACAGATACCCGAAATGTCCAGAGCACCAAACAAGCACAGAGACCAAATCATTCAGTGCTATTTCACACTGCTCTCCCTAAATCCTCTTTCTGCAAAGCATGAGCTGGCTGTGCTGTCTCCTCCTGCTCTGCAGGCACTGAGGGGGGCTGTCACCAACTTCGTCCTTGGAACATTTGCTCAACTAACAGACTGGCAGTTGTTTGCCCACAGATCTGACAGCAAACAACATTGTTTTCTCCGAAGTTTTCAGTCCCTCCCAGAGTTTTCTCTCCCTCTTTGTTGCCTCCTCCTTTCTCCTTTCCTCCTGTACTGCTTGCAGCACATCTCCCATTCTCTTTCCCTTCATCAAGATTTCTTCCTTCTCCCCCTCCTCTCTTTTTTTCTAAAACAAGCAGCTCTCTCTGCCTCCTCCCCCAGTATCACTTAGGGCAGATACATGATTTTGCACTTCTGATGCCTCCTGCCATCAATTTTAAACTTCCGTCAGCATTAAAGTGCTCAGATCTAAAACTAAACATTCGCTTGGCACAGAAAATATTTTTCCATCAAGTTTTCTTTCTGCTCCCTTTCATCTTCAAGGCAGTACAAATTTCAGAACTGCTGAAGTTGGCTGCAGAACTGTAGCAAAGCAATGCCTAACCCTAAATGCAGACCAGCCCAAGCAGCACAGTACCACTTTTAGCATCAAGAGCTGAGTATCAGCTGTGAGTGGAGCCCAAAAAAAGCATTCTGGCTTTGTTTCAGAGCTATTGGAATACAATGCACTTTCCCTTCTCCCATATGTTCACAGGGCTATGGGTGCTGCTCCAATTGACAACAACACATCATCACACTCTCCTCCAGCAGTAAACACTGCGTCCTTGCCCCTCCTCACTCTCTCACATGGATGTGCAGCTCAAGGTTTTATGGCTTAATGAGCTCTCCAGCATATGATTATGTGGTCAAGTCCAACTGCTCTGGTGATGTAATGCAATACAGAACAGATTTAGATGTTACTGTAAGTTTCAGAAAGAACTTCTGTGTTCTCTTAGTATCCCATGGAAGAGGATTTAAGTTTCCAACAGCTTGCAGAAAGCAACAGAGCTGAAAGAAGTAAAGAAACTACAGCAGAAACAGAACTTCCTAAGATGCTATAGACTTTTTTCTTTTAACTTGAAGCTGTTTCCTGGAAGAAGAGTGGACTTTACGTGAAAGAACTGCAGTACTGTTTTAAGTACCAGCTTCATTGGTTGATCTGCTGAATGCCACTCAACAAACCTTTGCAACACGTTAAAAACAAGAGAAAAATCAGAGAAAGAGGCAAAACAGCTACTGGCAGAGCTAGTCTGCAAACGCAATCTGTCCCCCTCAGCTCCAACAAACAACGGAGATTCTTCTACAGAATCCCTCTTACAAAACTCTTTCACAATTAACCACTGGGAAACACAGCTGAGAATTTCTGCTGTTTGCGGCACGTTGGGGTGAGTAGAAGGAAGTCTTTCCCTGCTTTCGTTTCTGTAAATGAAAAAACCAATATCTTTACTGCCTGGTGCTTTCTGTTTCGGTTCTCTGTTTAGCAGCCAAAGCCATCAGGATCCCCACAGGTCCCTTTTGGGGTGCAGAGGCAGCAGCATGCATGGCTGCTTCTCGCTGAAAAGAGGGAGAGTTGCAAAGGTGCCTGCTGCAAAACCCACCCATCAAATGGCTGTTATCCATATAAACAACAGGATGGTGATTTTGGAAAAGGGGTATTAGAAAAAAAAAAAAAAATCACTAAGAAGCTATGAGGACAAGAAATAACAGTTATCTACACATGGGAAAATTATTTGGAGTCCTGTGAAGATGGAGATACTGTGGTGGATTTATTAACTCCTGCAGTCACTCACACAGATTTGCACTGATTCATGAAGCTGTTATGGTTTTGCAGTGACAAGAACAGGATAGTCACTGATGTTGCATGCACTGAATGATGCACAGAGAACACCCAAACCACACTGACTGCTTCCCTCTCACCACAGATGCTTTTAGTGCCTGCTCTGAAATGCCTCCTTAAGAAGAGGAAACCAGCAGGTAGGAAGGGAAAAGAGAAGCTGCAGGACAGGACCTTCGAGAAGAGCACCGCGTAAATACCTTGAAGGATGTGTGAGTCCCAGGAAGCCCTCCTGTGCCTGAGCAGTGTCTGTGTGCTCAGGACATGCAGCTCCACATCCAGAGCCCTGCAGGAGACATCTGATTGCACTGCAGACAGAGGCGTGCTGCTGGTTTTCCCTGCTTTTAAGAGCAACTCGATTTCACTTTCAGTATGACAGGAAGCGGGACACAGAGCCTGGGAGCGATGCCAGCCAGTCTGTGAGATGGAAAACATGGGAAAATCCCTGCAGCAGGGCATAACACTGCCAAAAATCTGCCTGTGAGGTGTGCCCCCTGCACAGGTATCTGCGCCAAGTAGTGATGCACAGAGCTGGGCTGGGGCAGGGATCCCTGCCAGGGCTGAAAGGCATCTGCAAAGCTCACCTGATGCGGTGCCAGGCTTGTGGATGTCACACTGTCTGCACTGCAGCCACGCTCCTGGGAGCAGAGGGAGGGCAGTGAGCCTGCACAGCCCTCTGTCCATTAGAGAGCTCCATAATGCCCAGACTCATTCAACTCAGGTAAAACAAGTCTCATTTCTCTTGGCAAAGCACGAGCTGCTCTTAAATATCAGGAGAATTTTCTTGCTCAGACTGATCCAGACTTCCTCTCGTCTGAACCAGTTTCGTTGCTTTCCCATGTCAGATGTAAGCCTCTACCTCATGTCCTTTGCTTTGTCTGCACAGACTGTGCCGTGTTTCCTTAAAGCCTCTCTAGTTCTGACATGGCAAACATTTATTTTTTAATAAGTCCAGTGAATCAATCTGCTGTGTACTGGAAAGGTGGAATGGCATTGGGTCCATAGTGCCTCTGCCACAGCTTCCAAAGAGGAATAAGCAGAAATATGACAATATCCTCCACGTTAGCAGCCTTTCAATAGCTCAAGGGAGAGGGACAGACTGTGATAGGACAAGGAGCAGTGGTTTCAAACTATAAGAATGCAGATTTATATGGGATATAAGGAAGACATTTTTTAAGGAAGAAAAGTAGGAAGAGCATGATTTATTTGTGCTGAACAAGTGTCCAGACAGCATCTTTAAATCACACAATCCCAGTAAAGACAAAAGCAGCAGCTTTCTCTGTAGTGACACTGAAATTATGAGAACTATGTGTAATCCACCAGATTTCTTTAAATTTAAAGGAGAGAATAAATCAACAAAGTAATGCTTTACAAATTAGAAATGAGACAAGCAAATCTGAATGACAGCATTAGTTTTTCTGGGAGTGCTGAGCTAACGCAGCCCTTTGCACTGGCATCTTCCTGTTCAAACACACACTGAATGCAAGGTAGCCAGAAAAATAGCAGTATTAACAAATGTGATTAATTTTCCAGGTGGCACAAAGGGTCTTGCAGTGACCAGAAGAACCACGTCAGGAATTGCTATCTTCTCAGAAAAATATTGTCCTTTATCAAAAAGTAATTTTCTACACTCATGAGTTCATAGCCTGCAAGAAGGTAAAAACAACAGACTTCCCTTCACTTGCAGCTTTTGTCATCTGCAGCAGAGAAGAAAAGGAAGCATCACCCTACAAATAGGTGATAATGAGCCAGCAGAAACTGTTCCCAGACATCAGTCACAGGAAATCCTGGGTTCAAAGAGACCGACAAAGTCCAAGCCCTGCATTACTTTATTTCTACACATTTCTTATTTCATTTTCTCCAGGCTAAGACTCTCCATTTTCTTTCTAATAACATTTTTCTCAAAGAAAAACACGTAACACCAGTTGTACCCCATGGTTCCACATGTTCAAACTTTCTTGGCTAGCAGCAGCCAGGTTTATGTGCCAGTCCTGAAGAGCTTTAGCACACACAAGATATCCACCCACTGGCATATGATTTATCCTGGAAGCTGGGATCTTTGCTCTGGCAAACCAAATTTTGCCTCAAGAACCCAGCAAAACTCAACCGAATGTAATATCAAGGCAAAAGGGCAGAATGGACAGCACAGGAGGAGAACCCATAGAGCTGAGTGAGAAACTGAGAGCCAAACCCATGGCTGCGTCAGTGTAGACAGCTGAGATGAACTAACTGCACAATACTGAAGGGTAAGCAACTCCTCTCAGGGCTTCAAAACTGTGGGACCCCATCTCCAAGCCAAGGGACAGCCAGGAGACAGCCAAACCTGCATCCTGCAGTGAAGTCTTCTGATCCCAATGGCTTGAGATTGGAGCAGGCAACTGCACAAAGAGTCACAGAATCACAGAATCGTAGAGGTTGGAAGGGACCTCCAGAGATCATCGAGTCCAGCCCCCTGCCAAAGCAGGTTCCCTACACCAGGTCACACAAGTAGGTGTCCAGGTGGATCTTGAACATCTCCAGAGAAGGAGACTCCACCACCTCCCTGGGCAGCCTGTTCCAGTGCTCCGTCACTTCACCATAAAGAAGTTCTTGTGCACATTTGTGCGGAACTTCCTATGCTGCAGTTTCCGGCCATTTCCCTTTGTCCTGTCACCATCCACCACTGAAAAGAGTCCGGCCTCACCATTCTGCCCCCCACACCTTAGATATTTATAGACCTGGATCAGGTCCCCCTCTCAGTCTTCTTTTCTCAAGGCTGAACAGACCCAGTTCACTCAGCCTTTCCTCATAGCAGAGATGATCCAGGCCCTTCACTGGACTCTTTCCAAGAAATCCCTGCCTTTTTTTGTACTGGGGAGCCCAGAACTGGACGCAGTGCTCCAGATGAGGCCTCACCAGGGCAGAGTAGAGGGGGAGGATCACCTCCCTCGACCTGCTGGCCACGCTCTTTGCAATGCACCCAAGGATGTCATTGGCTTTTTTGGCCACGAGGGCACTGCTGGCTCATGGCCGACCTGTCGTCCACCAGGACACCCAGGTCCCTCTCTGCAGAGCTCCCCTCCAGCAGCTCATCCCCCAACCTGTACCTCTGCATGCAATTATTCCTCCCTAAATTCAAGACTCTACACTTGCTTCTGTTAAACCTCATCCGTTTTTTTTTTTTTCTGCCCAGCTCTCCAGCCTGTCCAGGTCTTGCTGAATGGCAGCACAGCCTTCAGGCGTGTCAGCCAATCCTACCAACTTCGTATCATCAGCAAACTTGCTGAGGGTGGCCACCATCCCCTCATCAAGGTCATTGATGAAGATGTTGAACAAGACCTGACCCAGCACCGACCCCTGAGGAACACCGCTGCTTAAAGGTCTCCAACCAGAGTTTGCACTGCCAACGATGACCCTCTGCGCTCTGCCAGTTCTCAACCCACATCACTGCCCACTCATCCATCCCACAACTCTTGTCAGTCACTCTTGTGCCTTTTGCCCAAACACCCATGAGAATTGATTGAACAACAAGAGGAAATGGTTTGGCTTGTTTCTAGGTTAATTTTCAAACAACAAACAATCAAATCACCACTTCTCTGCTCTTCCTAATTTCAGAATACAGAAGAGAACTGTCATTTCTCTTATTTCTTACTTTCTCAGAATTGCTTTCTGTCAAAAATATTTCACAGAAAGTGTTCCATGTCATAATGCTCCTACAACTTCCACAACAGACAGACAGATGACACAAGGCACTCCTTGCCCCTTTGGCACACTTCCTCTGCCCAGTCCCTGGTCCAAGAACAGTCATAGCAGAGAAGCTCCAGAACTGGGTGTGCACACATGTGAGGGATGGTCAGAGTTCCCTCAGAACCCCAACAAAGAGGTTTCTGACACTCCTGACTGGCTCCAAGCCAGCCCATCACACTTTGCACCTGAGACAACCCAGGCCTTATTGAGACGTGGCTTACCTCTGTGGAAGAAAAGCAGACCTGGCAGGACAGCTATCAACTCAATCAGTTCATTGGGAAATTTAAAATAGCCCTCAGCAAGGTGAACTTTGAAACACAAACAGGTTTCAGGACAACTCCAGCCCTCAGCTGACTCAAAGCTGGGCCAGCCTCACACAGCACAGCATGTGACACCTCCTTTGGGAGACACGTCCCTTTGGACTCCAGAATTTCACCCTTGCCCCTTTCTCTGCTATATCACCCACTGATTGTGGTCACAGGTGAACAGGCACACAAAAAAGCCAGGAGCACAGGAGGAGCATTCCTCACAGCGAACATTTTCACTTGCTGGACAATCTTTTTAATTATTATATTATTTTAACTTTTTAAAGCAAGCATCGTGCTTCTTTCCAAATGTCCTTCCTTGGTCAGAGTTAAGATGCAAATAGCACAAGGGAGCAAACTACAGCCAAGGAACAGAGCAGCAAACCCACCTGCTGGGATTTTCTGTACCTGTGCAGAAGAGAACAGAGTGGTGAAGTTGTGGTAGGACCAAACTCTTCACTCAAAGCTAAGCCCATTGACACAGCAGCTGTGTTCAAGTGCTGCTGTAAAAGATAGCAATATTCTGACAATTTGACTCAGAAATTTATGTCTCTTTTGCCTCAATTTTTTTTTTACAGAAAAGAAGTACAAAACATTTGTACTATCTAATTCAAGTGTGAAACAGAAATCTGGGGGAAATATATACTTTCTATACTATAATTTCAGGAACAAAGAACTTCAGTATCCTAGAACTGTTTTGAGAAGTTTATTCCCAGAATGCCCTTCCTGACACTCAGCTCCCTTACAGTCTCTGAGACCTCTGCTCTCTGGGAACAGTTTCACAACCAGTTTCTCAACCACCAAATGGCTCACCCATCACATCCAGATATTTCTAATTTAGAGAGGATTTTATGGGAGACCACGGCAAAAGCTTTACAGGTTCCAGACAGATTACATCAGTAATTTTCCACTGTCCATTGCCAGTTACGCCATAATAACTCTTTCTTCATCTTAGAATGTATTTTTTCAGGCAGTGGAAGGAAACAAAACAAATAATTAGCATCCATTTTAAATCCTGACCTGTGCAGTACAAGGTCACAAAAGGACTGAGGACAACTGAGGAGGAACTGACCTCATTTATTTCCCTTTTCTGCATGTGTAGCTCCACAGAGTCATAAGCCATTGCTCTCGACTTGGCTGTATCTTATGGCAAGAGCAAGTAATTTCCTTAGCTCAAGGCAGAGCTTGCATTTTGTCCCTGCTTCTATTACCTGGTTCATAAAGAGGCACATAAAAAGCTAATTGCAATTGCCAGCTGTATTCTAGGAAAAGGGCACTCTTTCTGGAAGGCCACTTTCAGGAATTTTTTAGCAGGTATCGTTCATAAATGATCAGCCTTCAGCTTGTTTCGCAGCTTGCAAAACAACTGCTGCTGTTTAGAGGAGCATCTGTGAGCAATGTAGTTTGCTCTTACAGTCGCATGTCAGGACTGCAGTTCCAACACTGTTCACTGGGTGAAATGTCTATTATCACACTTGTGTTCCAGGCTCAGGGCATTCAACTGGAGTTTTTTCATTTAAAAACTTCCCTTACTACTTCTGGCAGCTGTTCTGGCTCTGGCTGAGAACCCACGATGCACAGAGTTGAATTAATATCTCTTTTCAATTTGTTCTTACGTCTACATTTTCTTTCTTCTTTTTTTTCCACCAAGTGTTAGCTTTAGTCCAGGACAATTTCCTCTCCAAAATTCCTAGATGCTTTGGATCAGACTTTTCTACTTTATTTTCTTTATGCCCTTTTAAGTCTAAGCACCATCTGATTGCAGATTTGCCCTATAGCTTCCAAATCTGCTAGGACTTATACACAAGCATCCAAGAGCAGCTGTTCCGTCTCTTTGCACAGGCCAATTCTTACTACAGCAGTTACTTAAAATAGTTTTCACCTATTTATAATCTTGAAAACTGTATAGGTGGAGCTTATGCGCACACCTTGTTCTACTTGCTCTACAACTTCCCTGCTGCAGGACATGATGTGCTGCTCTGCATGGGAGAGCTGGGTATGTGAGCAGCCAGGTCTTGGTGTTTGTTCTCCTGGTGGAGAACACAGAGATGAAGACAGATTGCAGGGATTACTCCTCACGGAGCAAAACCAAGGAAACAACCACAAGATCACACACAGATTTCTGCCTGTTCTCTCTGTGATTTTGCCCCAGCCCCAGCACTACAGACCTCTTCTTGGGGCAGCCTGGACAAAAGCTCACAAGCCAAAGCCATCACCTCAGGCAGGCCAGAAGCTCAGCAGATCCAGTCTTCTGAATCCTTCTTTACATGCTCCACCAACTCTGGTCAGAGATTAAGGCTTGCTAGTTGCAGTATGGCCACTTCAGACGCAATTACTGCGGCTTTAGAAGAGCTGTTGCTTCCCAATATCTTACTTGCCCTGAGAAATCTCTCCAGACGTGGCTGGATGCAGCATTCCCTCCCAGTCACTGCCAACAAAAACCATCTGGAACTGTGAAATATGAGTCATACAACAGTCATAACAAGAGTTACAAAGGGCTTACCATATCTAACTATTGCCGCTAATCTGGCCAATTATAAGAAAAGCATTTGCATGACAAGGATGTAACTCTCAGGAAAAGTTATCACAGCCCTGGAACAAGAGATAAACATTTTTATCACTTCTCTGATCTCCCACGTTGCTCTGCAGTCCAGTGACATACAAAGTTCCCATGCTTCTCTAAGATATTGTCACTGCTTCATTCAAGGTATTAAGAACCCTGAGGAGATAGGAGCCATCCACCTCATATAGCCCAAACACCTCAATGGCTATTGCATCCACCAGCATGGGAGGCAAGGAACACCACGCTGCATCTTCATGACACTGTGGGATAAAGAAGGTTGTTGTATTGCCCATGAGTGGAAAAAAGCTCAACAATAACTTGAGCCAGACCTACAAGGCACCTAGGCCTTACATGTAACCAGACTTGGTTGCATGGGAAAACTGTTGTGTTGCACGGGTATAAAAGGTGGTAAGCACCTAGAATAAAGGTCTTCTGTTCTGCACCAGCAAACGAGTCCACACCTCATTTGCCCCTCCAGCAAGAGAACCCGGGACAGCCCTGCAATGTGACACACTAGGGATTTATACATTCTCTCCAGCAGTTCCCTTGCAAGAAGGCTCATTGAAGCTCAGATACCTCATTCTAGGTCATTAAAGAAGAAATTCTCTTTGCCCCAGTTTTCTCTCCATGCTGTGCTCTGTGCCCCACTCACCTCTTGCCTGTCCACCCAGACCAAACTGGTTACTGGGGTCTCTCTTCCAGCTTTAGAGACAGGTAAGCTCACAGCCATTACAATGTCACTTTGCACTGTGGAGATGTCAACACTGTTTCTAAAACATCAGAGCAGATTTCCATACCATCAGGCTACAAAATGAGATGCCTAGCAAAAGATTGCCCTTGTAGTAAAAAAACAAACAAACAAAACAAAACAACACACACACACAAAAAAAAAACCTCAAAAAACCCCACTGAGGCAAGTGGTAGCAGCACCTAAAATAAAATCATAAAGATTGGAAAAGACTTCTAAGATCACCAAGTCCAAACCCAACCCACCCCCACTATGCCACTGGCCATGTATGTCCCTCAGTGCCACATCTCCACATTTCTGGAACATCTCCATGGATGATGACTCCACCACCTCACTGGGCAGCCTGTGTCAATGCCTGATCACACATTTGTAGAAGAAATTTTTCTTAATATCCAACCTGAGTCTCCTCTGTCAACTTGAGGCCATCACCCCTCATCCTACTACTGTCACCTGGGAGCAGAGACCAACCCTCCCACCTTGTCACAATCTCCATTTAGGGAGCTGTAGAGAGCAATAAGGTCTTCTCTGAGCCTCCTCTTCAGACTGAACCATGACATTCCCTCAGCCATTGCCCATAAGACTTGTGCTTATGACCAGTAACCAGCTGGATGCAACTCCACCACTCTCTGGACTCAGCCCTGCTGCCACTTCTTTACCCAGCAAAGAGCACGCCTGTCCAAGCCACGGGCTGCCAGCAACTACAGGAGAGTACTGTGGGAGGCAGAATCAAAGGCTTTACTAAAGTCTAGGTAGATTTCCCTCACTCAACAGAAGGGCCAACTGGTCATAGAAGACCTGCCTTCCATAAACCCATGTTGGCTAGGTCCAGTCCCCTGACTGTCCCATACATGCCGCATGGCCACATTCACGGTGATCTGCTCTAACAGCTACATCTCAAGCAAGATCATGGCTTGAAAAGATGGAGTATGGAGACTTTTAGACAAAGGACATTGTGCTCTGAGGCCACACTGGAATAATCACATGAGTTACCATGAAATCCCTTCCAACTCCAATTCTTGTGTGCCTGCCATTAGCAAATTACTTCCCAGAGTGAATCATCACAGTTGTTTATTCCAACAGTGCTGGGAGACATAAGACCGTATACACAAATGCAAGGCACGTGATGAGGTAATTGCACGGCCACCTTGCCTCTGAGGCAAGATTCACTGGAGAACATCAGAAGTGATATTTATTCCCATAGAAGGGAAATCTTTACATCAACTTATAAATGAGATTCTTGTGCAGATGGTAGGGAAGCTACTCTGCTTTCTATTTCTTATTGCCAAGAAGCTGAGGAAGGAAGCAGTGGGTGAAGCACTTTTGCTAGCTGACGGATCACGTAGCTAGCTGCTTTCAAGAGGATACTGCACTCAGAGAAAAATCCCTACAGATCATTTCCTCCATGAACTCCTTCCTCCAATTAATTAGGGAAAAGTATCCTGAAGCATGCATTATTCTTTACTATTTTCCCACCCCCATTTGACCTGCAGCTCTCTGAGGACTCACACAACGTCATCTGACACTGACTTTTGCTTACTGAAGTCTTTCCACCTGTTTCAATCTATGGAGATGTTTCTTTCCCACAAAGCACAGCTAAATGCTGGCAACCTATGGGTCAGATCCCTCAGGATAGTCATTCACTATGTATTTTACTTGTTGCTTTCATTGTTGCTACTATTTTTTAGTCAGTCTT